AAATAAAACCCAAAATAGGGCTGGGGATGTGGCTCAGTGGTCGAGTGTCCCTTCATTTAATGCCAGGAGAAAGAAAGAAAGAAAGAAAGAAAGAGAGAGAGAGAGAGAGAGAGAGAGAGAGAGAGAGAAGAGGAGGGGAGGGGAGGGGAGGGGAGGGGGGGGAGGGGAGGGGGGGGAGGGGGGGGGGGAGGGGGAGGGGGGGAGGGGAAGGAAGGGAAGGAAGGAAGGAAGGAAGGAAGGAAGTCCAGAGGAGGGCAGTTCTTGGCAATGGCTGAGACCCAAGGATAGCAGGGCAAGGACTCTACAATTCTTGGGGCCTTCCTATCCAGTCCCAGGATGGCTGCTAGTGCTCCAATTATCATGTATTTCCATGTGTTTTCCAAAAAGCAGGATGGAATAAAGAAAAAGTAGTGAAAAGGGATTCCCTTGGAAGTCTCACCCAGCAACATATACTTCCACTCCTTTTGCTTTGCAAAAGCGCTTTCACAGAGTCTTAGACATTGGGAAGATGGTATGGAAATTATTCTCTAACTTTACAAATGCTAGTATATAGGAGAAAATAATAGAACATTGGAGTGGTGCTGAGTGAACCAATCTACAGTACTTCCCAGAGTCAGAGAAATAGGAGTTTGGCTTTAGTCATGTTGGTTCTAGGTAGGACATCAGGTAAAGAGGCACAGAAAACAGATACATAGTTCTGGGAAACAGGAGAGAAATGTCAACAGATCTAGATTTTAAGTGTCATGAGCATGCAAGTATAATTGATGCCATGGAAGGGGTGAGAATACCCAAGGAGGATATAACAGAAAGGGGACAAAAATCAAGGTCCAAACCCTGGGAAATAATAATACTTAAGAAGCAGGGAGAAGAAACAGAATCCAGAAGACTGAGAAGACCAAAGGAGGAGGAGAATCATAAGAGTAGCTTCACAGATATCGAAGAAGTTAATAGCATCAAGGAAGGCGTGATAACAATGATAGGGTCAGAAAAGCATCCACTGAATTTGCAACTCAGGAAGTGAAAACAGAAAGGGGGTACTAGGTAATGGTAGTGTTTTGAGGGTTACTTTGGAATGGACAGCCTTGGAGGTAGAAAGGAATAAGTTTCAGGGCATATGATGAGCAGACTCCTCTATTTTCAGTAACTGGCACTTTCTTTAACTCACCTGGATGAAAAAGAGGAAAGATCAGACTTCCACCATGGACAGTAGGGGAGAGGAGTGAGTGGATTCTTGGAAAGACTGCTTGTGATTACAGCAGGAACTAAATCAATCAAGGATTACCCTGGCTTTTTGACAAATTCTAAGAACTCTATAGCCTAACAGTCACTTGGTCAGAGTAGAGCAGCCTGAGCACTTCCTGGCACTAAGGCTTTCTCACCTCTAGGATCAGACTGATTGGATTACAGTGTTTCTACTTCACTCTAGGGTCACCCAGTAGTTCTCTGACTAGTGGTGAGGACATCTACCTTATGATATCATAGGAGCCTGTGGCCTAGTTGTATTAGATTAGTTTATGTACTAACTGAATAATACATATTAACTTAAGATAGATACAAAATGCTATTATATAATTATTCATATTACTGCTACATATAATTATATACATCAATATTTTAGTGATCCTAAAGATAGTCAATATTTTCAAAATCAGAATGTAAATAATGGTGGAAGACAGACATAAGAAAATAGGCTGGGCGTGGTGGTGCACACCTGTAATCTCAGCAGTTCGGGAGGCTGAGGCAGGAGTTCAAAGCCAGCCTCAGCAACTTAATGAGGCACTTAGCAACTCAGCAAGACCCCGTCTCTAAATAAAATACAAAAAAGGGCTGGGGATGAGACTCGGTGGTTAAGCACCCTGGGTTCAATCCTCAGTACCAAAACAAACAAACAAACAGAAAACATAAGAAAATGGATTAGCCTTAAATAGAAAGTGTTATTTTTAAATCTTCCCACATACCATAATGGACTATTTACCCAATGTTTCCTGGAGGCCTTCCTTTGCAAATTTCATCAGTTTTATCATCTGTATTCCCATCTGCACCTTGTATATAACCTATTTTTCTCTTCAGCTGCTCAATTCTAGAAGCCCTGTTGTTATAATGGTGCTGAGGTCTGATTGGTTACTGAAATCACCTATTGGTGGTCTCTAACTCTTCATTAGTGTGGGCTAACAATAATTTGGTTTCTTAAATTAAACATAACTAGATGCCAGCCTATAGCTTTTCCCTATATAACACTAGAATATAAGCTCCATACGTTCTTTACTTGTTGTACTGGGTTGAACAATATTCCTTTAAAATTTGTGTCCTTCTAGGAACCTCAAAATGTGATCTTATTTAGAAACAGAGTTATTGCAGATACAAGCAGTAAAGATGAGGTCAGAGGGTTGGGGGTATAAAGAGGTGGCAGAGTGCTTGCCTAGCAGGCACAAGGCCCTGTGTTCATTGTCCAGCACCACAAAACAAAACCAAAAAAGACAACGTTAGCTGGGTGCAGTGGAACATGCCTGTAATCTCAGCAACCCAGAAGGCTGAGGCAGAAGGATCACAAGTTCAAGGCCAACCTTAGCAATTTAGTGTGGATCTAAGCAACTTAGAGAAACCCTGTCTCAAAACATAAAAACACTAGCCAGGGGCGGTGGCACGCACCTGTAATCCCAGCAGCTCAGGAGGCTGAGACAGGAGGATCGCGAGTTCAAAGCCAGCCTCAGCAACAGCAAGGTGCTAAGCAACTCAGTGACACCCTGTCTCTAAATAAAATACAAAATAGGGCTGGGGATGTGGCTTAGTGGTTGAGTGCCCCTGAGGTCAGTCCCCAGTACTAAAAAATTAATAAATAAGTAAAATAAAAAAGGCTGCTGGGCACAGTGGCACATGCCTGTAATCCCAGCAGCTCAGGAGGCTGAGGCAGGAAGATTGTGAGTTCAAAGCCAGCCTCAGCAACTTAGTGAGGCCCTAAGCCACTCAGTGAGACTCTGTCTCTAAATAAAATACAAAAAAAGGCCAGGGATGTGGCTTGGTAGTAAAGTGCCCTTGGGTTCAATCCTCAGTACCAAAAATATAAAAATAAAAAGGCTGAGGATTGTAGCTCATTCGTAGACCACCCTAAAGAAGATGAGGTTAGAGTAGAATAGGATGGGCCCTTAATCCAATATGACTGGTGCCCTTATAAAGAAGATGACACTAGAAAAATACCACATGATGATGCAAGGCAGATATTGGAGTGACACAGTTAGAAGCCAAAGAAGGGCTAGGCTGTGGCTCAGCGGTACAGCACTTGCCTAGCACATGTGAGGCCCTGGGTTCAATCCTCAGCACCATATAAAAAATAAGCAAATAAAATAAAGATATTTAAAAAAAAGAACACTACAAAAAAAAAGAAGCCAAGGAACATTAAGGACTGCTAGCAAAAACCAGAAGCTAAGAAGGGGCAAGAAGCTAGAATCTTCAGAGAGAACATGACCCTACAGACACCTTGTGGACTTCTTTTTTTTTTTTTTTTTTTTAAAAGAGAGCGAGAGAGAATTTTTAATATTTATTTTTTAGTTTTCGGCGGACACAACATCTTTGTTTGTATGTGGTACTGAAGATCGAACCCGGGCCGCACGCATGCCAGGCGAGCACGCTACCGCTTGAGCCACATCCCCAGCCCACCTTGTGGACTTCTAGCCTCTAAAACTATGAGACAATTAATTCCTGTTGTTTAAAGCCACCCAGTTTGTGGTATTTTATTATGGTAGCTCTAGCATTCTAATATAGTGGCATATTCCAGGCTTCTAGGATAGTACCTGGCATACAAAAGGAGCTCAACAAAAGGAATATTTAATGAACAAATACATGGACTTAATTACCTAGGATTGACCTCTCAGTGCCATTTGGCACCTCTTTATAATGGGCACCCCCACACCTGATGAACACACATACATACTTGTTAAAACTCTCCTCTCTTGTTTTCCACATCACTACTTTCTCCTTGTTCAGTAGTTACAATTCTTTTATTTTATTTTTTTTTCCAGTACCGGGGATTGAACCTAGGGTCACTAACCATTGAGCCACATCTCCAGCCTTTTTTATTTAGAGACAGGGTCTCACTAAGTTGCTTAGAGCCTCGCTCAGCTGCTAAACTCACAATCCTCCTGCCTCAGCCTCCTGAGCCGCTAGGATTACAAGCATGCACCACTGCACCTGGATAGTTCCAATTCTTTAATGTGCTTTGTAAACCTTCATTCCTCTCTTCTTGCTCCACATTCTTTTCATGTAACTTTATCCCTATGCAGGCTTCAATTTCCCATATATATCAAGAATTCCCCAATCTAAAACAGATATAACCATGTCACTACTCTGCTTAAAAAATGGAGACTGGCTCTTCATTGCCTGCCTATAAATCAAAGTATAACCTTGTCCCCTTTAGCACAGTACTCTGTTCTCACCCCAGTATGCATGAACCCCTTTCTGTAAAATAACCTGTGCTCTGGCCACAAAGGACTATTCAAATTTCTCAGGTACACCATATTTAATGCTTTCAGTGCCTCTAGATTCCCTCCACCTGGAATGTTCCTAATCCCCCTCATCTACCTGATGAAATCCTAGTTCAGGCCAACCACAAATGCCACTATCTTTTGAAGCCTTTCCCATAACCTTCTGTTTATAACACCAGAGCTATTACCTCTTTAATGTTATAGCTGGTAGTTTATTCATTCACAGATCCAGTACCTAGCTCAATGCCTGGCATGTGGCACACTCCAAAAAATTACAGGTTGAATGAATTCATTCAAACCTGTCAAATTTCAGCTATCAAATGGCAGTAGAATCAAATCTCAGCACTACTTCACCAAAGCACAATGAAGATTTTGCTGCACTATCAGAATTTAGAAAACTACCACAAATGTCAAAGAATTGGGCCCAAATAGATGAGCTGCTCAACATTAGATGAATATTTACTCTTCAGAAACAGACCCTGACACAAGAGCAAAATCCTAGACAGAGCATCAACCCCTTACCTCCGAAGATACATAGTCTCCTCATCTTCTGTATTACAAAATTTGTGAGCATGTTTGGCAGCATCAATCACACGGGATCGGTCCCGGGGCCTCATGGGCAATTTCTCTAACTGACAATCTGAAAGAATGGAGAAAGATTTGGTCAGTAGAGTCACTGAAAAAGGTCTTGATCCAATCAGAAGTTTTCAGTGGCAGCTGTAGCACTATAACTTTTACTATAATTACTCTGCTGATGGAAGCTTCCAACTAAAAATGACTTGGTGTCAGGAAAACCTTGGTTTTGGCCCCAGCTCTGTAGTTACCCTGATCATCTTTGGCAAATCACTTCCCACTTCAGGGACTTTTTCTTCATTGAAAGATCAGTGCACTGGGAAGAGGCTGATGTCTGATGCCAACCATACGTTCCTGCCTTGCACCCCAATAGGTTTACTATTTTTAATTAGTGAAAATATGTAACATTAACAATTATCTACTAGTACAGATGGTTGACACTTTTCCCTATTTTCCTCACTTTATGGAAGAATCAAATAAAAGAACATTTATAAAACCAGAGGACAAAAGGGGGTTGTTACTTTAAAATTATATCAATTTTTTCCCTCTAGGTGTAAAAATACTCATTCTTTAAAAAACGTTCTTTTAAAAATCCCCCTTCCTGGGGCTGGGGTTGTGGCTCAGCAGTAGAGCACTCACCTAGCACATGTGAGGCCCTGGGTTTGATCCTCAGCACCACATAAAAATAAATAAATAAAATAAAGGTAGTCTGTCAACTACAACTAAAAAATATTTTTTAAAATCCCCCTTCCAGGGGCTAGGGCTATAGCTCAGTGGTAGTGCACCTGCCTCTCACATGTGAGGCACTGGGTTTAATTCTCAGTACCACATAAAAATAAATATTTTAAAAATTCCCCTTTCCTCCCCTCAAGTCAGCTTTTGTGCTCCCGAAAATTTTCTATTTCATAAGTCTGATCATAAAACCCTAACTATTAAAATAATTTGTACTTGTAGAGAGAAAAGTGACTTTTTCAAAATATACAGGGGCAGCTGCTAAATTGATGTATTATATATTGTGGTTTCTGTTTCTTGAAAAAATTTTTCATTAATTTTACATCTAACAAAGGAAAAACAATTTAAAAAGAGGGTAAGAAACAATTCCAGTGGGATGATTTTAACTTGTGAAATGTCCCTGGGATTTTTTCTTTGCTTGCTTTCTTTCTCCTTACCATGCCCCCGCCCAAATACACATATACACTTTCTGTAAAACTTGAAAATAGAAAGCAAAAACCCTCTACTGTTGTAAATCATGCAATTAAAGCTGATTACTTATAAATATGAACTTTGGGTCACTATATACACTGTTAAATTCGATTTATTATTACATATTGTTAAATAAACTGTGAGACAGACACACACACAAAAATAAAAATTTTAAAAAAACTGCCAGATGTGATGCACATGCCTGTAATCCCAGAGACTCACAAGGCTGAGACAAGAGTATCACAAGTTCGAGGCCAGCCTCAGCAACTTAGTGAAGCCCTAAGCAACTTAGGGCTTGTTTCAAATTTAAAAAATTTCATAATTCATAATCCGCTTGAATCAAATGTATGAAATATGATACGTCAAGAACTTTGTAATGTTTTGAACTAATAAAAAAAATTAAAAATGCTGGGGGCTGTGGCTCAGTGGTTAAGTGCCCCTGGATTCAATCCCCAGTACCCTTCCAAAAAAAAAAAAAAAACCTTCCCAACACCGCAACTCAAGTTCCTATGTGTATTTCTGTGATTACAGTACACTTGGTTTGTGCTACAATTTATTAGAGTTAGAAGAGTCAACCAAGTATCCAAGCCTATGAGGAAGGCAATAGGAAAAGTGGGTAACTGTTAAGGACAAAGTTATATATATGCAAATGACCCATCCAAGTTGGAGGAGGTTAATCTGAAAACAAATATGAAATGAAACAGGTACAGTTATAAAGCAGATAGAAATGAATATAATGCAAATCTAAAGGTCCACAGAGGAAGTCAAGCATCAAAGTGATTTGAGATTAATGGAGGAAGTGAAGAGAATTAGAGAACAGTAGGTAGTTTACACATTAGCTTGTTCACTCCTCTCAGTGAATGAATTGCAGTATCACCATTGCAACAGGGAACACTATAATCAGGGCAATTGGAGAGCAGCGGGCAGGAGATCATGAATTCAATTCTAAACATGATATATTTGAGAGGTCCATTAGACATCTGAGTGGAGATATTGAATAGGTAAGTGGAGCTTAAGGAGAGGTTCAGGTTAAAGATGAACATCTGGGAAGTATCAGCAAATAGGTGGTATTGAAAGCTGGGGTCTGGTTGAGATCACTGAGGGAGTGAGTACAGACTGAATATCCAAACAATACCGAGCTCTAACTCCTTGAAATCTCTAGAAATCTGAGAGAAAAAGGAGCTAGACACTGAGAAGGGACAACATTTGAGGTAGGAGAAAAATCAGGAGTGTGTCGAGTCTTGGAAGTAAATAAGAATATGTCACAAGAAAAATGGCATGATCATATGTTTCAGATGCCACTGACAGGGTGATTAATTAACACGAAGATAATTAGCCACCAGACTGGTATCACAGTGTTTAGTCAGTAAGCTTAACAAACACGGTTTTGAAGGTGAGGGGTGGGAAGGAAAGTCTAACGGAAGTGGGTCGAGACAACAATATAGACAACTTTTTTTTTGTAGTTGTCAATAGACCTTTATTTTATTTATTTATTGATATGTGGTGCAGAGAATCAAACCCAGTGCCTCACACATGCTGGGCAAGCACTCTACCACGGAGCCACAACCCCAGTCCTTAGGCAAGTCTTTTGATACAAACGCAGCATAGGGGTGGGGTTATAGGTGGAGGGAAATGTAGAATCAAGGAGGGCTTTATTTTTATTTATTCTAAGACGACAGCATCTTTGTATCCAGCAGAAAATCACAAAGTATTTGGAGTGAATTGAGGGGGGAGATTGTGTGTGTGTGTGTGTGTGTGTGTGTGTGTTTTAACAAGGAGTTTAGAGGGAGGTCTGTAGACATTGTCACAAGGTTAAGCAGAAAATGAAACAAACAAAAAAAAACGTCAAGAGTGGAGAAAGAATGTGTAGGGAGGATTCTGACGGTAAGGGAAAAGCCACTAAACTTCAGTGAGAGGTGGCGCCCAGATGACAGCCGGAGGAAATTCACCCTCAAGGACCCACAGACTAATCCGGGTGCGAGCGCCCGCCTGTAATCCAGCGACTGGGGAGGTAGAGGCAGGAGGGTTGCAAATTCCAAGCCAGACTGGGCAACTTGGCGAGATCCTATCTCAAAATAAACTGGACTGAAAAATAAAATAAAATAAAATAAAATGAACTGGACTGGAGATACAGTTCAGTGATAAAGCACCCGTGGGTTCAATCCCCAGTACCCACTGGCTCCCCTCAAAAAGAACCTGCAGTGAGGCATTGGGTTCGACCCTCAGCAACACATAAATATAAAGATATTTTTAAAAAAAAATTTTTAAAAAGAACCCACAGACTCGCTCCTTGAAGACGCCTTCTAGTTCGCGACTACTCACCCAGAACCAGGACCATCTGGCCGCACAAACAATAGTAGACGTGGAGAGGCTTCTCGCCGTCGTCATATTCCTCGCGGTCCCGGGTGTCGGAGCAGACAACCGACCGGGACACTACTTTAGGCATAGTTCCCAGAGGCGGCTAGATACCTCAAAGACAACGAAGAAAGTAGCGCAGAAATGACGTCACAAGCGCGCCGCACCTTTTCTCTCCAAGCAACGTTGAGTCACGTGTCAGTAGTAGTCTCAAGAACTTCCGGGCGGTCCCATCAGGCTAAGATTCGCGGGGGCTCACTCTCAGACTCCCGGAACTTCCTTCACCTCGGCTAAGTTAGCTGGGACTGCTTTAGTTGTGACATCTTCAGTATTATTTAAATCATTTATTTAAATTTCTATATGCTCATGGATATTTAAATTATACATGTATATATATATATATATATATATATATATATATATATAACCTGATATAAAAAGACTGTACATTACACATTATATATGCATAATACAGATTTTTAGGTGTGTCTTTATGATTTTTTTCTTTAATGGCACTGTTCAGGATGAGTACCTAATGAAGCATATTTTCATTATTAGATATGATTCATATAAAATTCATTCTTGGGGGCTGGGGTTGTGGCTCAGTGGTAGAGTGCTCGCCTAATACATGCGAGGCCCTGGGTTCTATCCTCAGCACCACATAAAAATAAAATAAAGATTAAAAAAAATTCATTCTTTATATTCACAAAGTTGTTCAACCATCATTATCTAATTAATTCCAGAACATTTTCATCATCTCAAACTATATTATTAATACCTATTAATAGTCACTGCCTGCCTCCTTCCCAGTCCCTGGCAAACACTAGTCTACTATCCTATGGATTTGCCTATTCTAGTATTTTATATAAATTTAATTATATAGCATGTGATCATTTGTCTGGCTTCTTTCGCTTAGCATGTTTTCAAGGTTAATCCATATTGTATGACTTCATGTCTTTTCATGGTTCAATAGTATTTCATGACATGGATATACCATATTTTGTTTATACATTCATCAGTTAATGAATATTTACCTTGTTTACATTTTTGGCTGTTATAGATAATGCTGCTATGAATATTCATATATAAATTTTTGCAAGGACTACTGTTTTCCATTCTTTTAGGTGTGTACATAAGAGTCAAATTACTGGCTCAGAGAGTAAGTGTGCATGTAAATTTTGGGGGGGAGAGGAGGTAACGGGACTAAACCCAGTGGCACTTAAACACTGAGCCATTCTGTCTCCCTAAGTTGCTTAGGGCCTCGCTAATTTTCTGAGGCTGGCTGTGAACCTGCAATCCTCCTGTCTCAGCCTCCCAAGCCACAGGGATTACAGGCATGTGCCACAGTGCCTGGGCTACATGTAAATTTTTGAGAAACTACTAGAGGGTTTTTAAAAGCAGTTGCACAGTTTTACTTTCCTACCAGCAAGGTATGAAAGTTCTAATTTCTCCATATCTTTGCCAATAATTTTTACCATCTTTGTTATTATAGCTATCTTAATATTTCTTTTTTTAATATTTTTTAGTTATTGAGAGACCTTTTCATTTATTTATATGTGGTACTGAGAATCGAACCCACTGCCTCACACATGCCAGGCAAGTGTGCTGCTGCTGAGCCACAGCCACAGCCCACTATCTTGGTATTAATTTGCAGCTTTGATTTTCACTTTCCTGATGGCTAATGATGTTGAGCATCTTTTCATGGGCTTATTGAGCATCTATATATCATCTTTGGGAGAATATCCATTCAAATCCTTGACACATTTTAATTGGGTTGTCAGTTTATTGTTGAGCTGTAGGAGTTATTTATATATTGTGTATACTAGACCCTAAGCATGTAAATTATTTGAAAGTAGAGGAATCTTAACAGTCCTATTTGGCCCCAGGTAAAAGGGAACATCATCCACCCTTTCTTCTCCAACCCAGAAACTCTTCCCTGAATTCCTTTTGTGGATAACAGGAACCTGGGGGATATTCCAGTATAAGTAAATTCAGACAATCTATGTTGGATAACTTCAATAATCCAAGTGATGGCACCAGAATAGTGGATTTTTAAGACAGATATTACTAAAGACAGCAGGAGTTTGTGGCTAGAAAGAAGATGTAAACCAATGGAAATTTAAAACTCTTGAATGAACATAAGAGAAACCCATTTAAGCCTTAGAGAATCACAGTGTTTTCTACTTGGGTTTTAGTCCAGGTTCATCCCTATGATTATATTATTGAATATTATTGATCTTCTACTATGTATCAGGTACTGTGCTTTACACTGGTTGGAAGTGATAAATAACACATAATCTTACCTATGGCTTAGTCTAGTGCAGGGTGGGCAAACTTTTCCTGTAAAGGGACTACCCCTTGGTATGAGAGCCAAGAAACAAAATAATTTCCACAAGTGTTTTATTGACAGAATTAAAAATACAATGTTAGCGCTTGTTAACAATTTAATTAACAATGTTAATAATTTTTTTGTAATAAACATCTACTAGTGAGAAGAGGGGAATAATATTTCACTTACTGTTCAAAGTGAGTGTTCTCAATCATTAAATCCTTCTGATGACAGAAGCCCAGTCTGGAGTGATGCAGTCACCAGCCAAGGACATAATAGATTATGATAGTAGAAGTTGGCAGAGGCAAAAAATAGATTTTCCTCTGGAGTCAGTTGCAAATATTAATCTGTTAAAGCTTATTTGTAACAACATTTCTGTATTTCATCTTTGAATTTTTTTCACACAAATAAATACTGCCCTATACTGATATCAGTTCCCAAGTCTGTGATTTCGAGCATATTCATCTCATAGAAGGCATTTATAGAATTCTATTAGAGTATTCTCTTGACCAAAATTGCCTTTTACTATGTCCTTGCATTGAAGATTAATCATTTCCAATTGAAGTTTAGGTAAAAGATCTTCAGTTGAAGTTAAATTGATTTTGAAATACAGAATTTCCTTTGCACTTGCATCAAGTCTGAAAAACACTGTTGGAACTTTAATTTGAGCTCAGGAAATATACTTACTGTAAATTTCTGTAGGAATAAAAAATCTTGATTGTTGTTTTTTAACTTTTGACAGCACAAGAATCAATAAAAGCAAATGATGATTCTTGTGATTCAATGTTAGTTGTCATTGAATAACTACTGCAATATAAGTGTCACATATAAGCACTGTTTTGCCTTATAATTTTAGGTTAAATTCATTAAGAAACATCATTAAGTCTATAGCAAAAGCTAATTTCAAAAAACTGTTCAATAATAGTTGTCAGGGGTGGTTTTTCTCATCCTGAAATTTTTTTACATATTTTTTAGTTGTAGATGGACACAATATCTTTATTTTATTTATTTACTTTTTATGTGGTGCTGAGGATCGAACCCTGTGCCTCATACTTGCTAGGCAAGCATTTTACCACTGAGCCACACAGCCCCAGCTCCTCATCCTGAAAATGTTTAATCTGAGGTCTTAGTTCCTATAAATCTCAATAGAATTTTACCACTATTAAGCTATTGAAATGCTATGGGGAGGGCAACTCAGAAATATTCAACGTCTACCCAGGCATGGGCATGCATTCCAGCAATTTGGGAGGTTGAGGCAGGAGGACTGCAAGTTCAAAGCTAGCCTCAGCAATTTAGCAAGGCCCTAAGCAACTTAACAAGACCCTGTCTCAAAATAAAAAATAAAAAGGGCTGGAGGTGTCGCTCAGTGTTTAAGTGGTTAGGTTCAATCCCCAGTACCAAGAAAAAGAGGGTAGGGGGAGAGAAATATTCAAGCTTTCAAGTTCTAGTTGTGGGTAAATTAAGAATCAGGAGATAGGGAAAATATCCCACATTAAGTGGGTAGGCCTGATGCAGCAACACTGATCCTTGCAAGAGGGATGAAGTTAGTCAGGGTTCACAGAAAAAGCCATGTGAAGACAGAAGCCCAGTCTGGAGTGATGCAGTCACAAGCCAAGGACATAATAGATAGAAGCAGGCAGAGGCAACAAATAGATTTTCCTCTGGAGTATCTAGAAGAAACCAGGCCAGTCAATGAGTTTGGTTTTAGACTTCTGATGTCCAAAACTCCAAGAGAATAAATTTGTGTTCTCTCAAGCCACTAAATTTGTGATAATTTGTTATAGCACTGTAACAAATATAAAACTATATCTACAAAAGCTGCAGTGTTGTGCATTGGAATTCAATCAAACCAGCCACAGACCAGGGAACTACAACTATTATAGTCTGTTATAAGATACTGTTTTTAAATTTCTGATTCTTTTAGTCTTTTTTTTTTCTTTTTTCCTCTTCCTTAATTTGTAGTTTTTCTAACCATTGCTCTGCTATGAATTTGGAATATTGTGACAAGTGTGTAGTCCGGTAATATCAATGCACATTGTGATATGTTTAGCAATGCTACAGTGTCATTGTGTATTGAACACAATGCTTTAACATCTAATTCCATAACCAATTATTCCACATCCCAGTGTACCTCAAAAATGTGACATTCAAGGGCTGGGGTTGTGGCTCAGTGGTAAAGTGCTTGCCTAGCATGTGTGAGGCACTGGGCTCAATTCTCAGCACCACATAAAAATAAAAAATAAAATTTCATCCACAACTAATATATGGCATTCAAAGTCCACTTTTATCTCCTTGTGTTTTTATCTATCTATCTATCTATCTATCTATCTATTTTTTTTTTTTGCAGCACTGGTGATTGAACATGATGCACTTTACCACTGAGCTACATCTCCATCCATTTTTAGTTTGAGACAGGGTCTTGTTACATTGCTGAGGATGGTCTCGAACTTGAGATCCTTCTGCCTTAGCCTTCCAAATTGCTGGTATTAGAGGTGTGCACCACTGCATCCAGCTTAATCTTCTTGTGTTAATGGGATATGTATGCACTTGTAACTTTAAAAAATGCAGTGATATGACAATAAATGTGACACTCAAAATGCCCTCGAGTTTTACTGCATCACTGCAGTTTGTAGTGCATTGGGCAACACATGGTCAAAACTACTCAGCTCTGCTATTATAGCACAAAAGCAGCCACAGACAGAATATCAATGAACAAGCATGGCTGCATCCCAGTGAAACTTTCTTAATGTACATTGATATTTTAATTTTATGTAATTTTCATGTATCATGAAATATTATTAAATATTATTCTTCATTTGATTT